CCTTTCCACAAATGCAAAGAGCTCTTCCTTTTGCAGAAGGGCAACTGAAAATCCAAGACAGAGATATATACCATTGTCATGTTGAATGGTTAGAAATATCTCAATTTAATACCTGAAACTGCATTCTGTTAAAAATAGTGGAAATAAGCTTGCCCAAGGCCAAAATTTTTGTAAGTATATAGGTTCCAGAGGACATAAAATGTGCTTAGTGAGTAGGACACCAGCTAATTTTCAAAATGTTGGAAGTGTGAACTTGTACCCTTCTTCAGGCAAAGGCAAATGAAAGAAAAGGTAAAATACTGATCAAAGTAACAGAAGGGTAGCAGTGTCATTATTCTTTTTCTGATTAATGGAATCAAACTACACCTTTAAGAATGGGCTTGTGTAGGTGAATTCATAGTACAGTGGTACCTCAGGTTACATACGCTTCAGGTTACAGACTCCGCTAACCCAGAAATAATGCTTCAGGTTAAGAACTTTGCTTCAGGGTGAGAACAGAAATCATGCTCCGGCGGCGCAGCAGCAGCAAGAGGCCCCATTAGTTAAAGTGGTGCTTCAGGTTAAGAACAGTTTCAGGTTAAGTACGGACTTCCGGAACGAATTAAGTACTTAACCCAAGGTACCACTGTATGTTAGCAGAGATAACTGTGTTGTGAACAACCCTGAGATGTTCAGATAAACAAACAAACAACAACTTTGACTTGCATGCTCCAGTTCTGTTCTTGCCATCAATAACATAGGTAAATAATTCCCCAGAAAAGCTTATGGTCTTTAAAATCTTATTCATTAGCCTTACAGATACAACTGGATTCTTTTCATAAGACTGTCAATTTAATTCTATGAACTAATACATTTGGGGGGGGGAGTAAGCCTTGTGGGATGTTGGAGTGGTTTGCCTTTCCTGCTCCCTGTCCCGCTGTTGTTAAAAGTGATGCTACACACTACACAGTGTTATCCTGAAAAGGTTTAATATTCTTTAAACAAAAAATCAGAAAGGAAAGACAGGAGCCATAGTAGTTCAATTCTGATTGATCCCTCTGCCAGAGGGATCAGGCTTTGCTCCCCCTTAGGTAGTGGAGTCTGGTCCTTTAGGACAAACGGGGCACCCTCAGTCTGCCCTCCCCCAGTCCCCACCCTCCTGCCTCTTTCTTATAACCAGTCCAGGGTGCCGTGGCACTAACAGTTAGCTTCCTCATGCTTAGCCTCAGTGGGTTTTTTTTGTTTTGTTTTGCTTGTGCGGGTTCTCTGCTGTTCATTTGTGTTCCTTTGGTGGTGAGAGAGGTTGGGGTTGGCCTAGGGTGTGGCTGTTCATTTGTGGATGGCTGTGGTGATCTTTGTTTTCGTGTGTGGGTGGGGTGGGTGGGTGTTTTGGATCAGGTTAGCCATATTGATTTGTATGCTGTTGGTGGATTTTTGTCGTTGTCTTGTTGAGCTGTGTATGTGATAAAGGGGAGCCATACTGGGGTGAAGGCGTCTTCTTCTATTTGTCCCTGTGTCAGTTTCAGTTTATTGGTTAATTTTTCTAGTAAGGCTGTTTCCCATACTATTTGGTACCATTGGTCCATGCTTACTCCTGCCAGGTCTCTCCAGTGTCTGGTTATGAATCATAGAATAGAATCATAGAATTGGAATAGACCACAAGGGCCATCGAGTCCAACCCCCTGCCAAGCAGGAAACACCATCAGAGCACTCCTGACATATGGTTGTCAAGCCTCTGCTTAAAGACCTCCAAAGAAGGAGACTCCACCACACGCCTTGGCAGCAAATTCCACTGTCGAACAGCTCTTACTGTCAGGAAGTTCTTCCTAATGTTTAGGTGGAATCTTCTTTCTTGTAGTTTGGATCCATTGCTCCGTGGAGCAGCAGAAATGATGTTTCTGGCTGCTGAGAGTAGGTGGGTTATGAGTTCTTTGTGATGTAAGTGGGCACTGTTGTCTTGGAAGATGTTTAGTAGGGCCATTTCTGGGGTGATTTCTAATACTTGCTTGGTTATTTTACATATTTCTCGTATGACTGTTACTTAGCCTCAGTGTTGACCTTGTAGAACTCGGCAGAGAGGAAGATGGGGGGGAAACTAGAATTAGATCTGCCCATCATTGGCTTGGGCTCCACCTACTCTTTGGGCTCCTATCATTCCGCCCTACCAGTGTCGATGCCACGGGAACCAGCCCTGACTGCCCTTAGGGTAACAAAATTGTTGTTAGCAAAATGCAGGAAATTGTTCGCGCAAATAAAATGCAACATTTGGCTGGCTTCATTCCATATCCAGTACTATCAGACCCAACATAACTCTTACTCAGTAGAGGGTGAATAATGCAAAACAGACAAATTCTTACATTAGAAGAGCTGGAGCTACATATCTTTCATGGTATTTAGCTCCAGTTCCTGGAGTGCTCTTGGCAAAGATATGGATCGTTCAAGGAAGTCCTTTTCTAGATGCAAATACTTCTTTATGCTTCTTTGACTGATACTAAATGTAAACCTTGGCTTGCATCCATTTAGTTGTGCATCTGGGAAAGGGGAAGGCGTTTTAATGGGAATCTTGGGGAATGCTGTGGATCTTTTTAAAGGGTTTCTTTTAAGGAAATGCTGCTTATTATTCTGATTTTAGTATGCTGACATTTTCCCTGTGGATAACCACTTTTTTGTCTGTGATAGTCTTACTAGTTGTATTTCAAAAACTCAGCAAGACTGGAGCTCAAAGTAATCTGGGTAAAAAAGACAAAAACCCACTTTGGTCATATTCATCAGTGTTACGTAGTACTAAGTTTTGATGGCGTGTCACCAGCGAAACAAAATCCCATGGCTCAGGGTTCCTCTTCTAGATGCTACCTGTATTAGGCCTTCTTTATTATATGGCAGTATAGAAATACTTTACACATAAATAAACTCTGTCTGAAACACAAAGGAGACTTCCAGATCCAGTGTGGTGAAGTGGTTAAGAGCGGTGGACTCGTAATCTGGTGAACCAGGTTCACTTCCCCGCTCCTCCGCATGCAGCTGCTGGGTGACCTTGGGCTAGTCAGACTTCTCTGAAGTCTCTCAGCCCCACTTACCTCACAGAGTGTTTGTTGTGGGGGAGGAAGGGAAAGGAGAATGTTAGCCGCTTTGAGACTCCTTCGGGTAGTGATAAAGCGGGATATCAAATCCAAACTCCTCCTCCTCCTCCTCCTCCTCCTCCTCTTCTTCTTCTTCTTCTTCTTCTTCTTCTTCTTCTTCTTCTTCTTCTTCTTCAGAGCTAGACAGATTTTGCTAGTGTTGGGTATACATTAAACAACTGAATGAACAGCTCCCCAAGACATGCATGAATGATGCAGAAACCCTGTGTAGTGCCATAGTCAATGTGGGATGTTGCTATCCAGGGATGCAATCTAAATGCAGTATTGTCAAAAATCTTGGTTAAGTGCTCAAGGCCCACACAAGTAATTAATTCTATTTGACTGAAGTTGGGATGCACTCAGTAATTAATTTTGGGCCCTCTGTTGTTTTGAATGTATAGTTCTGTCGTTCTTGTTAATGAGAAATATCTTTAGGAAAAGATTTTTCTCCTTTGTAAAACAGTAAGAAGCACCGACACTGCTAATTGTTATGTAGGGGAGGAAAAGGACTCACACCAAAGAATGATTAGTTTGTCCTTCCCTTTTCATTTTAACAGCAGAACTAATGAACGCCAAAGACACATTTATGATACTCGCGTAGTTTAACATTTGGTTTTTATTTTAAAAAAATAGCAAATATATTAAGAACACTGACCAGAAAGTTATTAAAAGCTTCATAGCAAAATATGTAGCCAACTCTGTTACAATATAGAGGCTTGAGATTCTAACAGGTTAACACTATGCCTCAATTCACTGGGCAAGTAATGCTTTTGACAAAGAAACACCACATTGTTAGAATATGGAGCTGGACACTAAGGGGGGGGGATCTGTCATTTGTCTTTCACAGTCAACTGGTGTACAACAACATTTTTACATTTCTGATTGTTTAGGGAGAAACTATTCAAATAATTCCTGAGTTATTTAGGTTAAGTGAAAATATGAAACATCTGCTAAAATGACCAATAAACACTGTGATCCTATTGGCCAAACCACAAGGGGTGGAATGGGTTAGAATAGACTAGTTAGCAAGATTAGGGTCTAACTGCCTTAAGGCAATGTAAGGAAGTTTTCTGGTAGACCTATTCACACTGCTAATTTCTTTAGCGATAACTTTCAACTTCAACGGTGACCCAACTGAAGGAGAAAAAATGTCTGCTATCAGTATCATCATCTTTGCGGCAGTTCACAATGCAGTGCATCCCTGCAACAAGTAATGTTTTAGTTCTTGAAAACTGTGGTCAACAGCAGGTTCATATTTAATCTCAGCATCATTAATGAATTGCAGTACAGTGGTACCTCGGGTTACATATGCTTCAGGTTACATACGCTTCAGGTTACAAACTCTGCTAACCCAGAAATATTACCTCGGGTTAAGAACTTTGTTTCAGGATGAGAACAGAAATTGCGCAGCGGCGGCGTGGCAGCAGCGGGAGGCCCCATTAGCTAAAGTGGTGTTTCAGGTTAAGAACGGACCTCCGGAACGAATTAAGTATGTAACCAGAGGTACCACTATATTTGTTATTTGAGTTCACACTATAACCAGAAAAAAGCTTTGTTGTACAACAGAACAACCATTCTCCACACATCATTTATTTAAATGCCGTAACTACTTGAATTCACTGTCATCCCACTCTTTGACAGGTAGGGTACATACATATTGAAATTTATATCTCTGAAGTGCCAGGTATAGCTATACCATACCTCATACTTCTAAAGAAACACCTAAAAATGCTTTCTAGGTCATGTGGCCAGCATGACTAAACCACTTCTGGTGCAATGGAACACTGTGACAGAAGCCAGAGCGCATGGAAACCCCATTTACCTTCCCGCCGCAGTGGTACCTATTTATCTACTTGCACTGGCGTGCTTTCAAACTGCTAGATTAACAGGAGCTGGGACAGAGCACTCTGTTGTGGGGATTCGAACTGCTAACCTTCTGATCGGCAAGCCCAAGAGGCTCAGTGGTTTAGACCACAGTGCTACCCGCATCCCCCTAGCACTGAGCCTTATTCAACCCCTAGCCCCAAAGTCCCACATTTAGAACAACCAGCTGTCTTAGCATCCTAGATTAGAAACCATCTCATCTTTCTAGCTTAATCCATCCTCTTGTCATCATAACAGAACTACAGACAACACTGGTATTCAGTTGATTATAGCAAGTTCACAAAAATTGTTTTCAATCAGCATAGTCTTTCTCACAAATCAATATGGTAGAAGTTTTTACTAATATTAGACAATGCATTATTACTATCATATGTAAGAGAATTTCTTTGTGCATTCCCTGCTTGGAGCGGGGATGAGCTGTTACTACACAGATAATATGCTATGTGTTTATTGCACAGCAGAAATATCCTTGCAGCTCATACTCATTATCTACTTTACACTTTGGATTCCAAGAAAAACCATGAACTAGTTTCACATGCCCAAGGGAAACTTTGACTCATTCATGTTGCTCAAAACACTAATACCCACATGGCACACCTCTTTTGAAAGCTTTGAACACAGGTTTTGATACAGAATAGAATCTATATAAAATAGAATCCTATTATTCCTTTGAATAGAATCCTGCTGATATAGAATTCTTTCTTTTAAAAGGAAAACAGTCAATTTTTCCACTGGATATACTGATGGGCTAAATTTGGCTCCACCACAGCAAACCTTCCATCCATCTCCATCTCCAGTTAAAAGCACCATTGTTAAGATGTTGCCATCATTGATGGCTCTGAACATTGAAGCTTATTCAGTCAGCTCGTATTGTTGACTCACAGTAATGAAAGATAGCATGCTTACATAGAAACAAAAAGAGTAATGACTGGGAGGAAAAGGATCTGAGATATGTTGAGCAGTGATAATATACAGTATTGCAATTGTAAATTAAGAAGATATCAATTCTCAAACCACCATCCAATTACCATCCAAGCACGGACACCACCCAATCATCACTATGGCAGTGCAGTGTTTTGATGAACAAGCTGCTTGACATTAAGCACTTGGCACTGCAGAGGTGAAAAATAACACCTTTGCTAACACAAGGCCATTTTAATCGGGTAGAAACATTTGGTAAAAACAGGCTTGTGGCAGTTTCACTGGAAAACTAAACCCAAAAAGAATCACGTGTCAAAATGTTTTGTTTTGCTAAAAAATACTGACACATTAATTTTAGTCCCCTGTCAAAACGTTGTCTCAGAAGTTCCACGTTTTAGATTGTTACTCAAAAACTCATCATGTTCAAAACTCAAATTATTATGCGATCTGGAAATCATTTGAAGTTTTTCTTTGTTAGTAAAGTCCTTCTTGACTGTTGCTGATGGCACAAGCAGCCTGTCCATTGGATCTTCTTTGTTTTCTAGTTTCATATAACCTTTACTGTTGCTCCGGTCCAGTCTTGGCCAACTTGGGTGTTTTCTTTGTTCAACTTGGACAGTCAGAGTAGAAGGGCCCCTATCTAAGTCTAGGGATTTTGAGTGCACAGACAAAAGATGCAAAGAGGTGTTAGACCCAAACTGTTTTCTGGCTGCACCAGGTGACAGAAGCTTTCCTGTACTGGGCCCAAGATTCATAGAAGATTTGGATGAGGAGTCTCCATATAAACTGTTTCTTGGTATCAATGTGCTGGAATGTTTGTACATGTCGTTGGTATGAGTTGATGGTATGGGTAGAGAGTCCATGGATAAATTTCTATGCCTGCCTCTAGTGCTAACAGAATCCTCAGTAATGTTGTCTATACTGGGCTCATCAATAACACAGTTATTTAGTTTAATTACAGGTAACGTGAAAGCGTTGATGGAGGATGACACAATTGACTTCGTTTCACACTTTAAAGAACTGCTACTCCTATCCTCCTTTGACTTTCCAGAGTGAGGGTAAAGGCCGAAGACTGAACCAGAGCGCTCAGTAAGCAAAGGTGGCAGAAGATGAGTAGCGTTTTTGCCATCACTCGCCGCAATTTCATCCTCCTCAGCACTGCTGTCTATTCGAAAGTTGCTTGCGTAGCCTGAGAAGGGTGCAATTGTATTTGCAGCCAGCCGTGACGCATAAGAGCTTCCGTTGTGCTTGACTTCATTCTCCCCCGCTAAGCCTGTGTAGGCCGCAGTTAGCTGCTTCTGTTCGCTGATCCTCAGAGTATGTATGTCAATGACAGTGGAATAGATGTCTCTCATGTGTATGATTTTTGTCTCCTTGTCACGGTTTTCGTGGAGCATAGCATTTGCACAAATAAATATAAAGATTCCAATCCCCATAGTGAAAGGCCCCAACATTTTCATCTTATCAGAATGCAAGTGCTGTTCAAAGAAACGAATTATAATTCCATCTTCTTTTTCTATGACTTGGGTATCATTTAGTGGCAAGCTGTATTCGGACTCCGGAAAAGGCTCCTTTTCAGGCCAATAGCCAAGGATTGCCATAGCAATCCCCAGAAATGAGATAAGCACTCCCAGAACAAGGAAGAATCCTGATGGGGAGTAAAGTCGAATCTTGCCTCGGACCACGACTACATCTGCTCTGGGTCGGCGTTTTACCGGCTTTTGTTCTTCGGTAGCTGCTGATGTTGCAAGATTTAGATGATGCTGGGATCTGGCAGAGTCTTGCCGCTTTAAGGCAGCCAGTCCTGTTATGACTCCTCCTGTTGCTATCATAATTTTTTATTTTGATCTAGATGTGAATACAAGAAACAACAACAAACATTTTAATAAGGTAAATTAATAAAATAGGAAGCATTTCTTTTTTTAAAAAAAGTCTGTATATTTGCAACCTGTCTCTTAGCCCACCAAGATCTACAAACCACAAGAATTAAAGTCCAAAAATTACCATTCAATGTTCTTCATAACACTGTAACTTCTTAATCACATAATGCCATCATGAAATTTCCTTCGAACTGGAAATCCCAGTTGTAAAACAATAAATGGTGTTGCAATATAGTAAAACAGGCAACAGGAGTTATACAGGCTATAGAAATACTTCGTCAGAAGTAAGGTATCTGGTTAAGAGAAAACAGCAACTGAAACAAATTTGTACTGTATCTTGACACCAACTGTGAAGGTAACACGCTACCAATTGTTTACCAGGCTGCAGCAACCACACACCCTGCTCTAGAGATCCAGACGCAGATTCCTCACCCACTACTCTCTACTCTCTATAAGGATCTCTTGTGCGTAACAGATGGTTGGAACTGTCAGCTCAACAAACGTGGGGGGGACGGGACACACCTAGATTCAGTAATCACTGTATAAGAGTTACTTACAGAAATATAATAGTAGTATAATAACTATGGCAGCATTCGAATGACCCTTTTTAAAGTGACAGTGTAGAAATAAGGTAAAGGGTATAAACTGTTGTAAGAACGTATTAGAAAATACAGAAAGAATAAGGTAACAATGAAGTACATTCAACACTAGAAAGGAACTTTACATCGGGTAATGATAGGAAGTCTACTTTACGTTAGTAAAAAGACAGGAAAAAGGGAGACTGTACAAATTTAACCTAAGCTTAATTTTTGTAAATTCATAGAAGAATATTTGTACATGGACACTTTCTTTTTTGTCGAATTGAGTGTGTGTATTATTTATGTTATTATTGAATTTCAATAAAGTTTTTTTAAAAAAAATATTCAGTAATTGCATCCCCAAACATATGACCAATGGAGTCAGAGCCAACAGAACAATCCACTCACCAGGAACTCACACCAAATGCTTGATGTAGGCCACTGCTTCTCCTAACGTCGTTGCATCCCATAATGTATATTGAGCATGAAAATGAACTTTGCTGGATCACAATAAACTTACTTTAGCTGGAAAAGGTGTCTGTGCAGGGTGGTGGTAGTCAGTTATTAGTTATTTTGCTTAAAAGCGTATATTGTATTACACTACACTTCATGTAGCCCGCTTGGCTCCCTACTGTACTACAGAGCTTAGGGCAAGCAAACAAGCTAGGAGACGGCTTGAATGTGAGTGGCGGGGGGGGGACGTCTCTGGTTGAATGCAGTCGAACACTGGTGAGGCTCATCATTTAGACTTCCTAGTGGCAGTGAAGGCATGCCTCCTCCACAAGAGTTCTGGAGGGTAGCAACATGAGAACAAGCCTTTTCTGCAGTGGCTCCCCATTAGTTGAATGCTCTCCCCAGGGAGAGCCTTCATTACATATCTTCAGGTACCAGCCGAAAAAAATTCTCTTCAAACAGCCATTCCGCTGATTAACATTCTGTGGATTTTAAAATGTGTTTGCAGGAAGGGGTATTATTGGTTTGTTTTTTTGCTTTTTAATGGATTTTGTTTTCTCATTTTATATTATTCTGTTGCGAACTGTGCCCTGGGATCTTCAGATGAAGGGTTGTATACAACCTTAATTAATAATAAACAGATAATTTATATTAATTAGTCTGAAGAGTGCTGCCTTACTCATACATAGGTGCTCCAACACAGAGCTGGGAACTTGGTCACTCGGGGTTCCTATCTTTATGTTGGAAAACCTGTTTAGCGTGGAAACTAGCCTTTTGTCCTGCACTATAACCAAATTCAGCACCCAGAACAGCAGAGATTTAGATATAAAACCTTATGACAGATGAGGTGGTGTTGACATAATAGATTCAAGGAAATTATGCTCCCATTATTCATACTGAAATCACTGAAAAATTAAAATGGAAGCAACCCAGTTTGCAAAGTAGGAAGAGGGGAAGAAAAGTGAGTGTCAGGGGAGAGGATCTCTACTCTGCTTGTTTTAGATTCTCAAGCAAAGGAATATTCTTTGTGGAAACAACTTTTGTATAACTTATAGGTACCTACTGCCAAACAACAGTACGGAACATATTGTGCTTTCTCTCTTTCATACATGTATGTATGTATGTATGTATGTACAGAGCAGCAGTGTATTTGTGTTTGTAACAGGGACTGGTTTCCGTGAGGTAAATAACATGTTGCTGCTCTGTACTTACTCTTAAGGAACAGTGAATCCTGCCTGGAGCAAGCATTGCAGATGCTTAGCAACAAGAAAGCACCAATGCTGAGCCTACAGACCTCTCAGTAGGAGTGGTGGTAGAGCATGTTGCCATGACAGCAGTAGCACAAGAACAAGCGCATTGCTTCTGGCCAGCCTCACAGCAGGGGCACAGAATTAAAACTTGGTGTATCTGTTGCATATTTACTGAGGGGCTTAAAATAGAGCAAAAATGCACCCAGCACTACATTTGTTAGGACCTATTCACACTTCCTGTGACTCCGTGGCACATCAGTGCTTTAACTAATGTTGGCTACAATAACAAAGTACAATGCCAAGTGTCTATCAACTTTCAGGAGTATGTAGTGGACATGAACCACAGCAGGGATGCAACTTCCTCGTACTTTGACTTAAATCCTTAGGTCAGAATGAGATGCTGCAGGCGATATACAGCTGCCCACTGAAAACAGAAGTCTGTTGCCTCTTCTCTCCCACAGTAAGGTTTAGTAACACAAATCTTATAATGAACTATCACCAAGCTGAGTTTTCCATTCCTCACACAAGCAGCCACCAATGAAGTAGAGCAGGGGCAAGAGCACTAAGAACACAATGTTGTCATGCCACACTTTTGGGGTAACACTTAACTATGCTACCAAACAGAAGAGGATAAGGTACTGTTCTGCTGGAGGTCCCCATCTCTTGTACTGTCTAAGTCCAGCATTAATCCTCATGCCTATCTGAAACAAAGCCCCAATACAGGTAACGGCATTTGCTGAAATTCATCTCTTATTCTCTCCTCCCCTTCCACTGTTGTAGTCTTCTGCAACCTCTTTCCCAGCTAAAATTTGTTTGTAAGTTCCTTGCGGTAGGAACCTACCCTTTGTTTTTATTACTCTAAAATGCCATGTGTACTGAGGGTGCTGTGCAAATAACGCACAGTGTGTTTGGAAATCTCCCCTTTGTAGTTTATGCATGTACTGTGGCAAATACTCAGTGTCACATATATGGCGAGTCAGTTCTTAGTCTACTTGGTTTGTGGGGATCTTCATACATAGTCTGGTCCTTGAAGCATGCTGCAAATTAAACACATCATGCGTCCAATCTGCCATGGTATTTGATCAAGCTGCTTTAGATGCAGCAGAGAAAACTATACATAGCATATTCGGTTTTGCTAAGGCCTACGATATGATATACAGCATCAAACTATAGAGGTAAGCTTTCCCCAGAATTACAGCTCCTAAAGCGACCATACTGCTTTTAGGACTCTGGAGGAGAATTGCCACCAGCTCTGGTATGATTCCATGAGCCCTGCTGACACTTGTGGAAGGAGCAATGGCCGTGCAAGCATTTGGGGAACATACTGGGACCACCAGTGGGTAACCTCCATGGGGAGGATGTATTTGCAGCCTCAACGATTTGCAAGATTCCATCAGCCTCTTTTCAGCCCTCTGCAATTTTATAAAACCTCATTAAGTGTGAAGTTCCCATAGTGTCCCAGAATGAGTGGAGATAGATTAGCCACTTACACATATCACCAAATAGAGAGGGAAAGAAAGGGGTTTGCATAAGATCTGCATATGTGTAGGTAAACATTTAGAAAGAATTATTATAATTAAAACAAAGCATAATTATCTTACTATTGCTGTTCAGGTATTGCTGATAGGCCACTTTTCCTCTTTCTGATGTTTCTTTGTCTTAAAACTGGTCTTGAACCGGACAGCTCTTCAAATGGAGGACTATCCTTTGTAAAGTAGGGCACTTAGCCACCCTAAGTGAAGCCTGGTATCACCACCCCAAGGTGCTTCTGTGAAGTGAACCAGCCTACATTGCTAGATAATTTATTACAGAAATGCTAAGGATCAGGATCAGGCCCTTTAGATAGCAATTGTAAACACTTTAAAGGTACTTCACACACCACTTTCCCTCAAGTGGCTCTTCACAATCAACCAGGAGAAAAGCAGACAAGGACAAGCGCAGGTGGAAAGGAAACAATGGCCTGGAACCTGAGTTCTAGGAATGAAAGGCAGTGACAGAAAGGGACTTTCCTGCCTCCTCCTTCTTTTTGCCCCTCTTAAGCATTTCTGGTTGTTTTTTTTCCATGTAGGGTAAAAAGAATCATGACCTAGAAAGGCTTCTTTAGTACCAATTCCCTTTCAATATTATTTTACTTCTTTCTTCCGTCACAAAGAGAATTGGATGCTAAGCAACCTCTAGGATCACAAGCTGGGCTGTCTAATGCTTCTGACTTCATATACTTATGAATAAAGTATTCCTCCCTGTCTTTGTATTTATTTGTATTAATATTTTTAGGGTGCTTTTCCACCAGAGGACTGCAAAGTGTTGCACAACATAACATTCATGGTGGGTGGGGAGGAATGACCACTTTAAAAATCAATACTGATATTTTAAACTTCTTTTTTTACAGTTTTATTGTTCCTTTTCCCTTCCTGATCTTTTCAACCTTCCCAATTGCAAAGAAGATGGGAAAGGGATAGTTGGTGCGGTGGGGGAGAGAAAGTGATGTTAAGCATAAGGTAAAGGTAAAGGTACCCCTGACCATTAAGTCCAGTCGTGACCGACTCTGGGGTTGTGCGCTCATCTCACTCTATAGCCCGAGGGAGCTGGCGTTTGTCTGCAGACAGCTTCCGGGTCATGTGGCCAGCATGACTAATCCGCTTCTGGCGAACCAGAGTAGCACACGGAAACGCCGTTTACCTTCCCGC